CAGATCAGAGAAGTAAGGCCCCTTCTTTCTAGTAGGGTTTTTTTTTAATTCCCACTCTATTCTTTCATTCCTATTTTTACTTTTTCAGGATTTATCTTCCGAAAGTGAAGCAGAACAAGATGAGGTAGAATTTTGCGTTGCCTTCGCTGTCACTTACTTTCTGTATTTTTTTATTAATCTTTTTTATCTATTTTAGGATTTAGAAAAGCTTCCAAAAGCGAGACCGCCAACAGCAAATAGATTTGTTTTTAAGTGCCTCCATCCTCTATGCAAAGCCAAGGACACGTATGTACAGAAAATGTTCCGGCACTACGTGGATATACACACGCTTGGCGACAAAGAAGACGGAAGGCCAGAATTGAATAAGGAAGCACGGGAAGAACTTGCTAAACAACTTATCAGAAGGCACCAAAAGCCGTGGGCTAGAGTAAGGCTCTTCACTACAGAGAGGAATGTTAAGTCAATCTTTCAAAGGTACTACTACAAGCGGGAGTTCCGGAAAAGCATGAGGGAGTTTCTTATACTTCATGGAATTGCCCTGGAACAATCAAAAGACCCGGTAAGTTTTACGTGCAGAAATGTCGCCGCATGGCTGTGGGAAAATTCCATAATAGTTTTTTTTTCAATCCTAGGAGAAAATCAGCTGTCGGCCTGAAATTCCGGACCATATTCCCTCCGAGGAGGAAGATGACAACCTTGAGGGAGAGGAAGCTAAGGACGTTTCGGCCACCGCAAAACCCACCAGCAAAGTGATGGGCTTGAAGAACCAGCCTAAAGAAGGACACTTGCTGAAGGAAAAGTTTTACAAACACAAGCTGTTCATGGCGAGGAACGCCGTATCTCCTGAGGCAGCAGCAAAGAACATGACCCAGATGTTGGGCAGAGTCATTTGGTTCGTTGAAGAGCACATGCAAAATGAGAGGATAGACGAGTACGATACTCTAAGAGACCACAAGGCACACGAGGAGATGATCAGGCGCCTGACACTGTCAGATTTCAGCCCGGCGGGCAAAGGCAATTTCAAGAAAGCAGTGGAAACGCTACTCAAATATTGTGGGGAGCACGGCAAATTTGGAGGCGGCCGCATGCGGGACGATGGTGACAGTGATTTTTGATGAAGGGGCACTGTTTAAGCGTTAAAAAAAGCACTTTTTAAAAAATTGTTATTTTTAATTCATTTATTTTTTTACAGATAACTTTCCCAAGGATAAAGATTTTCTGGAGGCCTTTCCTAAAATTGTCCGATTGTGGGCGGACTTTTCCGTAACGGACATCCCATACGCCGCCCGCAGCGCTGAAATTGAAGAGATTGAGATAGATCTGTAAGTACGACTCGCTTAAACCTTTGTTTCCGTACCCCTGCCCTCCAACCGTACCTTGCTAATTTTTCCACTCCGTAACAAACACAATTTTCTCATTTCCTGTCATTGCTCCTACAGGTACGACAAATATTTATCTGACAAGATCATCCCGCAAGAGATCGAAGAAAAAATTGTGTGGCTCGGGAGAAAAGCTACTCACGAGCCGGAATCGTACGCGAAACTTCCAAATGGTCGGTACGACCCGGCAGTGTCCAAGCCATTCATGTTTGTTGCTCGCCACCTGGCCTTACTCCTGACGTACAAATGTGACCGAGGAGGCGTCCCGACGACACTGAAAAGGTCAGAACTGCTGGATTACACAGAGCACAAGACTGGTGGCACCCGGCGTGTGACCTTCTCAGTCCACAACCACAAGAACAAAAAGAGTGGGCCGCTCGAAGTGACTCTCTATTTTGAAGAGTTCCAGTTGCTCATGTTTTTCAAGCAGTTAAGAGACGTTTTGGACAAAGTGGACAGCCGCTTCAAAAATGACATCCTACTCTGCGGCATGAACGGAACGAGTGTCAAGAAAATGTATGAAGACATCCAGAGGTGGGAGAAGGAACAGGGATCGAAGGGAAAATACAATTCCAGGTCGATGCGCCGCCATGTTACGACGCTGAGCTCAGAAATGCACTCCGACAAAACTTTCGATATCGTTTGTAACAAGCAGAACCACAGCAAGACAACTGAAAACAGGTCCTACAAGATGAAGACAAGGAGGAAGGCTGCCAGCGACTCTCAGGTTCAGGAGAATGTCAAGCTAAACGCAATTTTGGGGGCGGAGGCTCTGCAGAACATACACTGGTTCGCTCTTGTGCCCGGCCAAAAGCTTCCGAATTTGTCCGAAGTCCAGGCCACCATCATCGAACGATCGGAGAAGGAGAACATTGGATTTTTTGAGCTGTCCTACGAATGGTACAACAGAATTCTAACAGAAATTCGAAAAGACCTTTGCAGGCTTACGGTAAGAACCATGGCCAAAAAGGTTTTAACCGAAGAAGTTTCTATCCAAGACGCCGTTACCTACCTGAAATCATGTGAACACCAAATTGGCCACAGCAGCAAGTGGCAAGAATACCTGGAAAGACATGTTGCCCACATGAAGGCAAAGGCAATGGTCTGTACTTACGGTTTTTTAGTACATATATTTTTTTTCATGCAGCACAATTCCTGACTTGTCAAATATTTTGTCTATTACAGAAGCAGAATCAGTGAAGCCCTGGACACCTTTCAATATTATTAATAAAACTTTTTCGATTGTTTTTTTGACGAGACCCTCTTATTTTTATTTTTTTGGTTTCTTCATTATTAAACGTGTCAAAAAAATGCTAAATAAATAAGAACATTATTAGACAAAAGTCTTAACCTCGTTTATATTTTTTAGAGCTGTATACAGGCTGCCTTATCCATTGCCCTACCCCCCCCCTTTCCCTTTCTCTATAATTATTCTGCTCTCAAGTATTTTTAACCTTTTATTTGCTGACGCTTAAATCTTTTTGTAGGCCCAAAAAGAGAGTTTTTTGCCCTGGCTGCTCGGGTTGGTTCCGGTCGAAGGTCCTGCTTTACCATTTAAGAACTTCTCACGCTGCTGACATAAGGCGCTTGAAATTAAATGTCAAAAAGCTTGCAAAAGTGTTGCGGAGAGGTGGTTTCACGACAGAAAGGGCGTTGCGCGCCCACTTCCAAAACTTCTCTTTACTTCAGAGCAAATTCGCCAATTTCTGTAAGATGATTGGCTTACAAGTTGTGGCTGGGCTTTCACTCAGACCTTGGCACCCCAAGGTCGTTGTCAGGGGTGTCCCTAAGACAACTCAAGTGTCACGAACCTGCAGGCCCCCGACTGCGCCACAGCCGTCACCTGCTAGGGAAATCCAAGGTAGGGATATCATTGTCAAAATTAGGAGAAACACAGTACAAGTGTATGGCGCTTATAATAAAATACGGCTGTTTCCCTTTTCAGAAGTTCGCGTGTCAAGAGTGGCCAGGCCAAAGCCCTTAAGCTGCGATCACCCACTCTTCAATGGGCTCGCAGTGTCCCAAGACGCCATGAAGTGCCTGAGGAAGGTGCTAGCGGCTTTCAGCGACCTGGCCGGCTCCGATCCCGCCCCATGGATGCTCTCCGAGCCGGCACTGTTGGAGAAGTATATCCTGTCCCGGACGGCGCTGTCAGGACACACCCTCCGCAAGGATTTGTTTGCCCTGCTCTCCATGGCACGGACCCTGCAACACCCTGAATTTAGCGAGTGGGACAGGGCAGAGGCAACGGCTATGTTGCAGGAGGCGACAACAATCCTGGGGCGGCCTCCAATGCTTGGCGTCGGGCGTCATCAGTCGTCCGCAATCGTCGCCCGGCTGAAAGAAGATGCATTTCTGGTGCGCTCCTGGCTCCTGGCACTTGAGGGAGCTTTCGAAAAGGCACCAAAACCAGTTGACATCAAGAAGAGGGGAATATCTGCTTTGTGGGTGAAGGTTTCGCGACACCTTTTCCACACCTGCTCAGCCAAATTCGGATTTGCCAGCACTTCAAGGTATTTCTTCACCAAATGTAAATTTATTTCGGCAGCGTCCAGCTAACATTTAACTTTTTTAACGGTGTATTTTTTCCTGTCCTGCAGATTCACTGTAACGGAGGCACTGCAGCGGCCCGACCTACAATTTCTGTCGCGCTTCGTTCGGCTGCGAAATATGGCAAAACTCGTAGGCAATGTGCTTTTCCTAAACACCCAAGGAAAGCCTCTTGATCCAAAATATCAGTAAATTCTCTATTATTTTTTGTAACAATATTGTCCGTTAAAATAACAAAAAAAATAAATACTAAGGGTTGAAGAGCACATGCAAAATGAGAGGATAGACGAGTACGATACTCTAAGAGACCACAAGGCACACGAGGAGATGATCAGGCGCCTGACACTGTC